CGATCAAATACATCAAAAATCCCTTGTTATTCGAATTCTTCATTGTAAGATTATAACGAATTTGGTATCCGGAACAGCAACTTCGCCTATATCAAGAGTTGACTGTAATAATAAAAAATTAGAAAATATTGATCGAAAATGAATGATGATTTTTAAATAAGACAAAGTGTATTTTAGTGATTAGTGAATCGGTCCTGGTAAGACCAGTCTCAGAGTGGTTAATGGTACGGTCCTTGTGGTCCTCAGTATATATTCTGAGGACCGGTCTGGACCAGTTTAGAACATATTTGTATACTAGGTAACGGGAACCGTTGGAGCGTCCGAAGCGTACTGCGCTATGACGATCAGAGTAGTACAAGTTACACAATTACACGTTAACTTTTACACGCAAAAAAATATTCACCTGATATACATTTTAATAATCAAATTTTATTTAATAATTACAACAACAATAATAATACATACATTACAATTGACGTAATAAATGTAATTAACGTATTAGAAAGAATTCGTCAAAAAAGTTTTGCTCAAATGCCGCCTACGTCAAAATGACTGCCCCTTCTTAATAATCTCCATTTTATTATGAACAGTAAATAAAATGACTTAAATGTTAATAATATGTGCTATAAGATATATATAAAAACTGACTCAAAGATCAGATTTATAAATCGGTCCAGAATGAAAATAAAATAAATTTAGGAGCAAGACTTATTCAATACTGGTCTTAGGACCTGACTTATTCAGTTCAAGAAAGATGAAAGACCGGTCTTTTTGGACTGGACCAGACCGGTCCTATTGGGTAGAGTAAAATATATATGACATAATGTAAAGACAACTAAAAAAACTCATGTCCTTTAAGCAATATTATTTTTTCCTGAATAAGTATTTTTACCAAAATTCTATTAATATTCAATCAAATTATTTAACGTTAATGCAGAAAAATATAAGAACTTGCTAATATAAATGTATTTCTTGATGATATTTATTATTTTCCAAGTCTGAAAATTTTTCTCTTCAGAAGTTCAAAATTTTCAGATAATTCATTCTGACATTGTGATGAGAGTTACATACATTGATAGGACAAAGAACATTTGCTCGACAGTTTGACCAGCATTATGTAGAGTTATGCATGTGCATGTGATAAATCAACCAGCATTAGGCTGTCGGGATTTTGTATATTTTCTGAAAGTATCGCAAATAAACTCATATAATTGAGACGTTTTTAATGATCGGAATTCAAGCATTTAGTCATTGTTTGAATATATAAACTTTGAGTTCCATCAAAAATTTCAGGTCCAAATTTCAGTAGCTAGTTAAATATCATGTGGTCGATTACGAAAACCTGCAGAAAGTGTCCACATGATAATTCAATATCTGAAGCTTTTGGTGGATTTCTCTTTAAGATTTCAGGATCTATGTCAGGAAGAACTCCATATATTTCATTTGAATTTTTCTTATCAGCTGGTCCCATTCGGTCGTGGTCGATCAGCGGTCAGTCAACGGTCGGTCAAAAGCTTTGACGACCGACTGGTTAACTGACCGATTAATAGTAAAAAAATTGAGCAGCTTTTGCTTAATAGAAAGTTTTAATTTAACCAAATATTATAATTTTGATTCTTGCTTTAACAATTCTAGCATGGCATTTTTTAAATTTACTTTTGTCATTTTTATTAGTGGCACAGCATTATCGCAGACTTTAAATTTTTTTTCAAAGTTTCAAAATTTTTAATTTATAGTTACAGTAATTAAAAAATAAAAATTTGATTTTGTTAATTTAATAAGTGTTGTTCAGTATCAAGTCATTCGGGCCAACCGGTCGGTCCTTTGATCGACCGATATCGGTCACATTTATGACCGGTCATGACCGGTCATGATCGTAACGTAACCATTATCATGGAATCAATTCATTAGGCCTGTTAATTTCTGATTGTTCAAGTTTTTGATCGCAAAATCCGTTAACCAATCCAAACATGTGATCAAAATTAGATTTGAGTTGGGGATTTCTGATCGCAAAAAATTTTAACAAAAATAATCAACCATTTGTTTTTGTTATGTGATCAAAAAAATTCCACCTTTTTTTTTGTTAGCCAATAATTATTAACTCAAAACCCGATCAAAAATCCAAACGATCAGAACCTATACATTCAATTCCACCTGATATTCCCCAAAGCCTCTCCAACAAAGCAATTTAACGTATAGATTTAAGAAAATTTTTCTTGCTTTTTTTTTTAAAAAAAAAAATATTTTTTATTGAGACGATTGGATTTTAATAACGAAGAAAAAACATAAATTTTTTTTATAAAAAAAAGGAGGTAGCCAGATTAAACTATCTTCAAGCAAACAATTTAAAATACTTATTGCAAAAAAAAAATTAATTTATATTCCATATGTAATTAAAATTAAGGTCATTACCGTAAGAAATGATACTTTTGACTAATATATAAATATATTTCGCACAAATAAACTTTTTTCTTTTCATTTTTGTTCCAATTCAAAAATTTACTTAAGAATTTCATTAACTTCTGGTTTATACCGATAACCAGGAATAAGCTAAATTATAAAGTTCATTAAATAGCGAACTAAAAACATTTCATTAAAAAAATAAAATTACCTTGCAAGCTTGCTTAATATTTTTCCATTTGAATTCACATTGTTCGGGAAGAAATTGGTATTCATTATCGGAAACTGTAATTGAGGCACGTTTCCAAAGCTCTTTTTTGATGTTGCCGCTACCTCCACGTTTCTCTACAAGTTTTTTTAGTACTTTCTTATGTACTTTCAGAAACAAAAGCAACGACTTTATGTTTTTCTCTGTCCATTTAAATCGAGCTTTTTTCTCATTAAAGGATTTGTTATTAACGTTGGATTTTTCTAATAGAATAAAGGTTTCATAAATATTTGATTATGTATTTGATATAAATATCTAATGACCAGCTGAAAATTAATTACCTTGAACACGATCCTCGCTACTTGGAAAGCCAATTACTGATCCAAAGGAAAACGTATTTGCATAAGTTAAATAATAAACACCTTCTTGAGAATTAATTAAATAGTCAGACAGAGAAAGAAGAGATGCCTGATAATTTGAATTAAATTGTAAAGAATGAATTGGAATCATTGTTTCCGCGTTTTGTGCATTACTAGCGCTATCTTGTTGGTATAAATAAAGAGATTCATTGGAGGGTCTGTTATTAAAATCTGCAGTAGTCATGTGAGACGCATTCTCGTAATGTGGCAAAGTTTGTAAGCTACTATCAGAAGGTAAATTAGTGGATACATAGTTTGAATTGCATGGAATTTGCATTTGAAGTTGAATTGGATTCATAGTTTAAGAGAGGATGTAATTATTGGTATTTTCGGTAGAGGAGATATTTAGTAGTATTTATATACAATATTTTTTAAGTGATCATGCAATAATTGCCTTGTATCCTTAAAATATCAATGTAGTGTAATTACTTATTGTGTGTAAAGCTCCTGGATTTTACGCGATAAGGTGTTACATTGGTTTTATCAACCGGATCATAATCCCGCGCGATTAGAGTATCTATTGAATCTGTTTCATAACTTTCATATCAATTCCCCTTCTCATATGAATATGTAATATGATGTAGGATCTTTAGTAATACCAAAACAATCATCAATCCACCATTCTGTAAAAATAGATGATATCTATCTAACTTTTTTTGAATAAAATATTATGTTTTCGAGGATTTGGTTCATTCTTATAATCTTGATTCGATAGTTTAATGAGCACAATGCTTATTGCATGCAACCTCTCTACATAAAGTGACGCGTGTAAAACGCAATAAAAGTTAAAGCTTTATATGTAAGGAAAAAAGAACAGTAAGCAAATGTTTCAATCAGTCAATCTATAAATAAAAAATAATCATAAAGCGCGTCAATTTTTTCGGTGATCTTGAATAATTGACCAATCATAATTATCGATGTTAGTACGCACACTGATCATACACCAAATGCTTAGAATGCGGGATACAAACGAAATCTGCAGCTTGGTGTAAACTTTGTGATCTTGCAAGGTTAAGAGAACATTTCCGTAATTGGACTAGCGGGATTTTGTAGTAGATAAATTTATTAGACATACTCAACTACACGCCGAAGAAAATTTGGACTTTTTAGAATGGATTTATTTCGATCAATTTGTTTTCGTTAAAAATATTAACAAACGAGGTGCTTTCAGCACAATTTATTCCGCAACATGGATGGAAGGACCAAAATGGAAATTGGATGAAGAGGCTGAAACATGGGAACGTAACGGACCAATTAAAGTTATATTACAGCTATTCTTATAATTCCTGGACCACCCGGTTTATTTTTGTTCCGGAGATAAATTTTTTCATACGCAGTCATA